TTTAGCCAACATTAGGGCTCCAACCCCTGAAGTGAGCGTTTTTCCTTTAGCCAACATTAGGGCTCCAACCCCTGAGTTGAGCGTTTTCCTTTAGCCAACATTAGTCCTCCAATCCTGAGTTGAGCTTTTTATCTTTTGCCAACATTAGGGCTCCAATCCCTGAGTTGCGCCTTTTAGAAACAGGGTTCCATTCCCTAGTCCATTCCATCATAGATAAATACAATTCTTGAAAATGAAAAAAAAGAAGAGAGAGAATGAGTTCAGATGTGTCACAACTAACTCACGAAATTTTTCTAGTGAAAACTGGGGCAGAAAATTTCGTTCGTTTGTTTGTTTTGGTGTCTTAAGCAGGTTTGACATCGAGGCACAGGGTTCGAGACGACCGATGGAATGAATCTCAATCCAGAATAGAGAAAGGAAGAAAAGAATAAAAAGAAATGAATTCAAAATGTTGAAGCAAACAAAGTTGCGGATTGCTCAGAACGTGATTGAAGTCACAAGGTCCGCATGTTCCGTTTTGACACAATGCTGAAGAAAGAAACAACACCTACAACTTGCGAGCATCAAGATTCAGATTGGAGTCCACATCAAAATCAGCCAAGACTCAAGATCAAGCTTCAAGAAAATTATAGATAGGAATCTTGTGACTCATAGTTGATAGGCATAGCTAGCTTAGCTTTGATTTTCCTTTTGGTGTAATAAGGAGGTCAGCAAGCAGTAGCAGCAGCAACAGCAGTGAAATCACAACTCCTAGTAGTTCCAGCTACCAAACCTTCCAGAACTACACTGACCTGATTCCTTTATAGCCAAGGATATGTAGGCAACCTCTAATGCAGGGTTCGGTCAGACGGTTTTCAAAAATGCTTCTCATGGAGTGTCAAGCAGGCAACAATCTCTCATAATTGCTCATTTATCTTTGCCCAAAAACCCTTCGTGTCTCGGAGTCAAAAGTGGGGCAGTTGTGAGCACGTGATTTTTGCCTCGCTTGAACTATTCCTATAAATTTCTAAAAATTGGATTTTGACAACATCATAGTACTATATCATGTACTGAAAAAGTCAATGAACATACANAATTTCCATTGGAGGACAATGCTCGTTGACAATGTATTTGGTTTCTATAATTTTTTCGGATGTATCGATCATTAATTGATGTGCTATTGTGGAAATCAATAGACTATAACTCGCATCCTCATCGACTACAATACCATCGACCTGAAATTCTCTAAATCTCCAATAGCTATCCCAATTCCCATTCAATTGTAGCATAATTGAAATTTGGACATAATTGAGTTTGTTGTAGAAGATTTAGTCGTTTTTGATGTGTGAAATCAGAAAAAAGGTTGAAACACAGTGTATCGCAAAAACAGAGACTCAAATTTGAAACGAAACAGACAATATTTATTAATGTGCGTGATTTGCGTTGTGGAAGATCTGGAAGAATATTTAATTCCCCAATTTTAGCGCGCCTAAATATGGAAGCCTACAGCTACTATGATTCCTTATTTAATGAATTGTCTATATTTTGTAGAAATACTATTAGCATGAAGGGTAATATGCAAACTATGAACATATTTGGTAATATAGTTTCCTATACGGTATAGGAACGAAAATTTCCCATTCTTAAATTCCGTGCCGAGTCAAACTACCTCATCTAATTTGAAACGGAGGAAGTAGTTATTTATACAATTGAGTCAATTATAAAATATGTTTGAGTACAGTTCTGTAAGAAGCATATTGATAACAATGATAACTAACCACAAATATTTCCAAGTATAAAAACTTTAAAAGCTAGTGCATAAAACTTAAATCTTTTTATTTCACTGGATATAAGTTGTCTCCTAAATGAATGTCTTTATTGCTACTTTCAAAGCTCCACATGCTAATTATTCGAAGTAAATAGTAGCCATGTGTACATGCATGCATTAAAAAACCTCTACTTTGCCAGAATAACCAAATTTTGCAAATAGGTATATGGAAAAGTATAAAGCTTCTATTTTTCATCTATCGTTGCTTTTGAATATTTTTCAACTTTTAATGAAAACCTTCACCACTCGATGGAAGTACGTACTATAGAATCTAATTCTTCTTGAACATAAGGAACGCCTATATATAGTTTGTTTATTCTCCTGTTTATAGATCATAAATTCCTACAAACATTAAACTAGTACAGATATACATTTAGTTTCCTTCATCAACCAGAGCCATGACTGCTGCTGGAATCACTAGGCTTCCGCGAAAATCACCGCAGATTAGGTTATTTTTGTTTCTAATTAGAGGTTCTTCTTAGCTAAAGTATATAATATATATATCTTTTGCAAATGCTCGTTAAAGATGTACATAGCATATTTACATGTTCGTAGACTATAGGGAAGTGTTAAGGTGTGGAACAGCACCACCAAAGGGACGTGGTGCAGTGGATGAGACTGCTCTTCCCTTAACCAGAGGTTTCGGGTTCGAGCCTTGGATATGAAAAAATCCTTGGTAGGGAGCGCTTCCCCCCAAATGGGGCCCTACGCGGTGCAAATCAGGATATTAGTCGGGCTCCAATGCGGGTACTGAACACCGGGTGGGAAACCAAAAAAAAAAAAAGGTGTGGAAGAGCCTTAGCTGCAGAGCTCAACTAGAATGCTTGAAGTGTATTTGCTTAGAGGAGAGTAGCCTACGTGGGCTCTTCCAGATGTTAGATTTCATATATAGTTTTTGTTGAGAGTATGAATTCTTATATATGTATGTATATGCAGGTTGCAGCTGCATGAAGTGGGACGTTGGATGAGCAAGCTTGCTGGGGTGAAGGAGAGATACGGATCGGAGAAGAAGAAATCATGTTGGTGGGTACCTCACCCTAGGACAGGGATATATTTCCCACAAGGTCACGAAAGAGTGATTGATGACATACCAAATGGTGCTGCCTCTCTTACTCAAACGTATTGGCTTCGGAGCGAGGACGGTGTTGACAAACCTCAATCTGATTTTCCCATCAGCCATAATATTACTTATAGGCAATATTACTCATGAAATCAGGGGCCAATATTGTATCATATACAGTAACACTTTGCATATGCACTAAAACATGGGATCTACTAAATATGTACATTCCATAAATGGATTGTGACCCTGATAGCATAAATAAATTGGATTGTGGGTTCAGTCCTAAACGAGGAAATCCATAACTTTGAATCCTGAACTGCTTTTACAGGAAATGCAATATATATAGCATAGCTTGTACTGAAAGTTGAAATTGTTAATTTAACTAGGTATTAGGAGTACTAAAGTTTGGAATCGTTCCCTAGTAAATAACTGGCTTCTTCACATTTGTCTCTCCCTATAAATATATTTAATAGTGGTCGTGTTGGATATTTTAGTAATTAACTTCAATTATCTTGAAAGATTAAACTCAGGCATTTAACTTAGTTCAACTGTGCTGCAACTAATAAGAGAAGGATAAAAAGGAATATAGCATTAACTAGAGGAATAAAAATGCTATTTTCCTAAAATTTTAAAGTATACGTAACATTTTAATAAAAATTACTACTAAATAGTATTATTTGAGAAAGAAATAGTCAAAGAAGATATATTGACTTGTCTCCATGTGGATGGCCTGATTGAAACATGTGGAGATGATCCCATATCATCTCCAACGTTAGGTGTTCTAAACAGAATTATGTTGGTAACATGTGCTTGTATATTGGGTCAAAAACCTATTGACTTTTAAATCATACTAATAGTATTATTAATTTATAAAATGTGAGAAGAAGCTAATTAACTAGTAATAATATCAGAGGAAGAGGGGAGGACGTAGTAATAAGTTTTGCTCGGACATGTACATGTGTTACAAAATGTACGACTAAATAGATAAAAATAATAAATTTTCAGAGTCATAAGATTCAAAACGGGCCAAAGGGAGAGGAGGGTAATTATAGAGAAAAGGGATGGAAGAGAAGTGGTGGGGAACAGAAGAAGAGAAGAAAATCTCCCGCTACATGTCATGAGATGAACCGGCAAAGTAAATCACTGCTTTTGTAATGATTGATTTACCATAAGATCGAGGTCCGCTAATAAATTAATTAATTAATATGTGGATAATGTTGGATCGATATATGCATCTCAGCTTTAATTGGTGTTCGTATACTATTGATGCAGGTATTGAGCTGGAGACTTAACTTAGAGCTCTATATATCTTGGCTTTTGTTGAGACAAAAATTGCCAAGGCTACAATGTTGTCTGTCTCTTACTTCCTCATATATATCAAAAACCACGCTTTGACCTATTGCCATCTTGTGCTATTATTCTTACTAGTACTTTTCTTTGGATAGAGTGAACACAAATCTTAAGTAGAATCTAAATTTTGAAAGCTTGTTGCATGTTCTGTTCAGAGCTTACGCAAGTTACAAAGAATTAGTAATTATAAAGGAAGAGCAATAATAAGAAAAAATAAATAAATTGCCATGACAAATAGATGTATCACAGAAATAACTAAAACAGTGAGCATAGAAATTGCTCCTTTACCTTTTGGACAAACTTATTGGGATACTTGCTAACTTCAACAATTTATATATGTATGATTTCATAGTTCAGATATGAAAAGAAATTCAATCATTCGAGAACATGGAGCAGTAGCTTAATAACTTTTTGGATTAGGGTGTAAGAAAAAACTCATCCTGCTATTATCTTGTAGAGAAAGTCAAGAAAGGACAATTTAGTAATTTCATATAAGTTAGTTTGTTAGTTATTAACACTAATCCTAGAGTTAGTTAGTTTGTTAATAACGGCTAATCCTAGTTTGTTAGAGTTAGCTTTAGTAAAGTACAATTAGTCTATACATATATATATATATATATATATACACACACTCCAACTATGTAGAAATCAATCAGATGAAATAAATCACGTCTTCCTCTCTTAGCTCATTTCTTTCTCTCTCTTTCTTCTTCTTCTTCTTTATCGTCTCTCTACTTCATCAAATTGGATCCAATCCAGACTTTACTTCATGGTATCAGAGTAGATCAGGCTAATTCAATAGCTTGAATCTCGATTCAACATCTTGTTTACGCAAAATCAGAAAGAATTCTGAAATTGATTTCTTGTCTAGTTCAATTCTTGAAGAAGACTTGATTGCTATGGCGTTAAATGAACAACAAGTTGTTCCTCCTGTAATTCCGACTACAAGTTCCAGTCAAGGAGGATTGCATGCAATTGATTATAATCATCCGCTGTTTTTAAGCCCATCAGATATTAGTGGCATCCAAATCATATCATTTCAACTAACTGGGATTGAAAACTATTCCCTATGGTTTCGATCTATGAGAATGGCTTTGTTAGGAAGGAATAAGTTGGGTTTGGTGGATGGAACATGCACAAAAGAAAGTTTCCCAGAAAGTCTGTGGAATCATTGGGAAAGAGTAAATGCTATCGTGCTTTCTTGGTTGATAAATTCTGTGAGTAATGGGTTGCTTGGAGGTATAATGTATGTCTCAAGTGCACAGGTTGTGTGGGAAGATTTGCATGAAAGGTTTGACAAAGTAGATGGCTCAAGATCATACAATTTACATAAAGAAATTGCTCCTCTTAGCCAAGGAACAACATCTATTTCTGCATATTTCTCAAGGCTAAAGGATCTGTGGGAGGATTTTGAAACACTGGTTCCTGCACCTGGGTGTGACTGTCCAAAGTCAAGAGAATCTGTTGTTCATTTGCAAAAATTGAAGCTGTTTCAGTTCCTGATGGAGCTAAATGATTCCTATGGCCAAGCTAGGAGTCAAACCTTGCTGATGAGTCCAATGCCAACGGTTAATCAAGCATATGCCATGGTGATTAGTGATGAGAGCCAAAAATCAGTTGCAGCCAATGCTGGCTTACTAGGAGCAAATCCTACATCTAGAACTGGTCAATATGATATGGCAGTGTATACCAAGACTGGGGAAAATTATCAGAAAACTAGGAGAAATTCCAATTTGTTCTATGAAGTGTGCAAAATGAAAGGGCATTCTAGAGAAAATTGCTACAAAGTTGTAGGTTATCCTCCAGAATATAGACCAAGAAAGAAGAACACAAATGCACACAGTGCATATAATGTGCTATCTGAAGTTAGTATACAGGATAATCAGTTACCTAGAGGGAATTAGAATGAGAACTGTTCACAGAACTCTCAATTAACAAGCAGTGGTGTGAGTGCCAATAATCCTCAGAATATTGGGCAAGTGAATAATACTCCTTGGATGGCAAATTGCACATTCACCAAAGAGCAGTATGCTACTGAACAAAGACAATTCAAGTTCTGCTTCTACTACAGCAACACCATCAGCTAATGCTGCAGGTATTCCTTGTGCCTTATTAGCTTCTAATAATATACAAGAATGGATCATAGACACAGGGGCTACAAATCATATGGTAGTTGATTTAGAACTGTTAAATAAGGCCTCATTAATGCAATCAAGTCAGTCAAAGAAAGTACATTTACCTAATGGAGAAACTACTCAAGTTACTCATATTAAAACTAGTACCTTAACAGATCAAGACATAATAACTAATGTGTTATACATTCCTCAATTCAAATATAATCTCTTATCTGTCTCTAAAGTAACTAAGGAACCGAAATGCTCAGTTGCATTCTTCCCTGATTTTTGTATATATCAGGAACTCTTCAGTGGGAGGGTGAAAGCGATTGGTAAAGAAGACAGTGGTCTATACATTCTCAGTAGACAAAAATCACCAGGAAATAATGCAATTAGTTTAAACACTAAGGAGACAGAAATCAGTAAAGAGATTAATTCAAATGATATTGAACTTTGGCATAAAAGACTTGGACATGTGTCTGCTACAGTTCTCAATAAGCTACTTTCTGCAAATGCACAAGATATATCTGCTAGAATAGATCTATGTACTACATGTCCTTGTGCAAAGCAAACAAGACAACCTTTTCCTTTCAGTAGTATAAAAACATCTACTAGTTTTGAGTTAGTTCATATGGATTTATGGGGTCCTTACAAAATTCCTACTATGGGTGGTAATAGGTTTTTTCTAACTGTAGTAGATGATTTTTCTAGAATGACAAGGATTTTTTTTTTTTGAAGTTGAAATCTGATATATGCGTGATTGTACAATAATTTCTTACTTTTGTGAAAACACAGTTTGGAACAACAGTTAAAACAGTAAGAACAAATAATGGCACATAATTTGTTAATTCAGTTTGTGAGAATTTCTTTAAGAATCTAGGAGTGATTCATCAAAATACATGTCCTTATACTCCTCAGCAAAATGGAGTAGCTGAGAGAAAGCATAGACATATCCTAGAACTCACTAGAGCTATCAGATTTCAAGCTAATATACCTATCAAATTCTGGGAATATTGTGTTATTGCTGCAGTATATATCATTAATAGGCTGCCTAGTTCTGTCATTGAAAATAAAAGTCCATATGAAAGGATATATAATAGAAAACCTACATTACAACATCTTAAGGTTATAGGTTGTTTATGCTATGCAAAAATAGTTAATCAAAGTGATAAACTAATGCCTAGAGCAAAACCTTCTATACACATGGGATATGCTACAGCCCAAAAAAGGTATGTGTTATATGATTTAATAGATAAAAGGTTCTTTGTAAGCAAGGATGTTCAGTTTAGAGAAGATATATTTCCTTTTAGAAACAAACAAGACAACAACAGATCTTTATTTGTTCATCCAAACATAACAGGCTTATTTTTACATACCATAGATCCAATAACACAAACTACAACTTTAGAAAATAACATGTATCCAAATCAACAAGAAGATACTGTCATACCAGAAGTTACACAAGAGTACACACAACACTATGAGTCTATTCCTACAGAATCTGTTCAGACTAACAATCAACAAATATCAGTTATACAACAAACAGATCAAATCTCACAATCAGCTCCTATTCAATCAAATATCAGAAAGTTAGGTAGAGGAAAGAAACCACCTATATGGATGAAAGATTTTGTGTCATTAACTGCCCAACAAAATGAACCTTATGCAATATTAAAATTCATAACCTATGAACAGTTAACTCCTAAATATCAAGCCTACTTGACAGCAGCTTCAAATGTTAGTGAACCAACTCTATATTCTGAAGTTGTAAAGGACCCTAAATGGACAGATGCAATGAAAGCAGAGATTGAAGCTCTACAAAACAATCACACATGGGACATAGTAACTCTGCCCACTGGTAAAACCCCTATAAGATGCAAGTGGATTTACAAGATTAAATATAAGGCCTCCGGTGAAATAGAAAGATTTAAAGCTAGGTTAGTAGCTAAAGGTTTCAGTCAAAAGGAGGGGATAGAT